TTAACCAGTTCACCTCATCACCATCACACACAACGCTAATAGTCTGCCCTCCTGAAGGACCCACCCAGTGAGGTCCTTAAGCTGGTTCCAGGTGTCTGTCTTGGGTGTCATAGTGAGTTAGTTGCTGGTATAGGCTACTAGGGGCTGAGGTTCTAAATCCCTGTGGAGAGAGAGAGAGAGAGAGAGAGAGAGAGAGAGAGAGAGGCAATCGGTACATGATAAGGAACATAGCTGACGTTTTGGTTTGGTCAATAAGAACTGCATGAGTCTACATGAAGCGATGGTCTCCGGTGTTAAGTCTTGACATCACAGAAGACCAACAGCAGACGCAAGACAGTGACATACATCTAGTTCGTTGATGGAGGAGGAGGGTGGAGGAGGTGTTGGGGGGTAGGGGTGGAGGTGTTGGGGGAGAGGTGGAGGAGGTGTGGGGGAGAGGTGGAGGAGTGTTGGGGGAGGAGTGGAGGAGGTGTTCGGGGAGGAGGTGGTGGAGGAGGTGTTGGGGGAGGAGGGGGTGGGTGTGACCTTTTGTTTCATGGATGACATGACACGGTGAAGCAGGCGTCGACGGTGTTCATATTCTGAGTAACTCCAGGATCTTCAGGTTGTGTGACGTGATGTTAGTGGTGTCTGAGGGAAAAAAACCGGAAGGGTATTGTTGTTGTTCTTGAGGGTAAAAATATAACCTGGAATATTATAAGAACCTTTGTGGTGGAATAGAAGTTTATTTTTATTTTTTTGTTTCTTTGGCTGAAAAACTTTTTATTTTATTTTTAGCTGTGACTTGACAACTGGGTTTCTATACCAAGACATTTTATTGCTTCTGATTTTTATTTTTTTAATGTCTAGTGTTAAATTTTACGCCTGTTTCCTTTCCTTCCCTCGTATCCTCAGAAGGGTAACACCAGTCACAGATAATGACCAGCTTACTACACATACTAGTGGTGTTTATGTCTCTCTTGGCACTTTCCTCACACCAATGAAGTAAATATTGGTTCTCTCTATAAACGACTCAATCTAATCGTTATATAGTCTTAGTAATCAACCATTCTACACATAAACTGACGAGACCTTTACCCTCTGCTTCTACATCACACAGTCCTCGGAATATACACCTTCTGGAGTGACTACAGGAACATCTCTCATGACACTTTATTGACGTGCTCCAGGGGTGTATACTGTACAGGTGTGGGTTTCGATGCTGTTTTAGTCTGCCTCTGTCTCTCTCTTGTACTTCAATATATCATCAACTTAAGACTTTTCTGTTCCAAATTCTTCTCTTGTTGTAGTTAATCTGATCTCTGCGACGGAATTGATAAGTTGTAAGTTCTTCTTCATGGACACTCGGTTCTGGCCTGGTGAGTGTAGTGTAGTGTAGTGTAGTGTAGTGTAGTGCAGTGTAGTGTAGTGTAGTGTAGTGGCAGCCTGGATAAGTTCCTCAAGTAATGTTGGGTTTGTCAGTCAGTCAGCCGCTTAGTTGTGCTGCTGTGAGTGACGTGAATAATACATGTTGCAATCAGGTGTGAGTGCAAGTGACGTGAATTGCACCTGTTGTTGTTTATCACTTTGGGGTGTTGTTAAGAGTGACGTGATGTGTTACCTGTGTTGTGTGTCATTAAAGAGAGGTTATGTTACTACCTGACTGTATAAATCATGATTGCTTTTCGTAATTAATTGGTAGGTGTCCATTGGCTCTCAGGTGTATTTTATTGCATTATTTGGGCCACTTGAAAATACGCTACCTGGAGGTTAGGTTAAGTTAGGTTAGGTTAGGTTACGTTACGTTACGTTGTTTTAATTAGACAGGTGAAATATTGCTGGGGTGATTTATCTTCAAGTGATCTCATTATTCGTATAGAGGTAAAGGAAACCTATTTACCTGTCCGTAATTATGAAACGCATACATACATACATACATACATACATACATACATACATACTGAGAGGGGAATTGTATACTAAAATTAAACTTTGAGGATTTAGAAAGTAAAATATAATTTTTAATTTTCATAGAAAGAAAAATTGAAACTTTGAATACTGAGTAAAAAAAAAGAGTTAGTTTAGAAAGAAAAAGACAAAAAATGGATTTAGTTGAAACGTAAAGGCTGATTGACTGAACTGTAGTTGAAAATGTGAAGGAGTTTAGTTAAAAAATCTGAACGAGTATTATAGGTGGAAAAATGGTTACTTAAAGTTAGTAAAAATGAGAATGATTTAAATAATATAAGAATTAATAGCGACTTAAAACGAAAAGTACAATATTGACACAACAAAATAAGAATAACAATAAAAAATAAGTAAAAATTATGAGCAGAGAACCACAATAACGAAAGTGCACCAGGAAATAACGAATAACAAAAAATAAAAAGCAATATATATTATTTTTTCAAGTAAGACTAAGTAATTAAAATCAAAATTAAAATTAATCATGAATATTGTGAAATAACAAATAATGAATTCGTGACTATTAGAGCAAATTGTAGAGGGAATAAGAGTTAAAAGCCTGAAGTGACTTTGAGTTTATTTATAAAACAAATTTCATAATCTCTCCTGGTTACGTAACTTGTGAATAGCCAGGATGTATTGGTGATGATGTGACGTGTGACGTTGTGTTGGTATGAGAGAGAGAGAGAGAGAGAGAGAGAGAGAGAGAGAGAGCCAAATTATACGACAAAGAAAAGAGAGAAAATGAAAGGGAGGGGGAGAAAGAAATGAGGCACAACCAGAATAGAAGAAAAATACGAGTGAGAGAGAGAGAGAGAGAGAGAGAGAGAGAGAGAGAGAGAGAGAGAGAGAGAGAGAGAGAGAGAGAGAGAGAGAGAGAGAGAGAGAGAGAGAGAGAGAGAGACTGAATATACATTTGAATTCACCTGACAGCTTGATATGCAATGTTGCATTTTTAGACTTGTTCTGTTGTGTGGAATTAGGGGACTGGAGAGAGAGAGAGAGACAGAGAGAGAGACAGAGAGAGAGAGAGAGATAACGAACGAGAAAAAGACATAAATAAATACAGAAAAATATAAAGCCTGAAATAGAGAATAAGAGATGGAAAGTGAGATAGAGAAAGTGAGATAGAGAAAGTGAGATAGAGAAAGAGGGATGTGAAAGAGATAGGTAATAACAGAAGACGTAGTGGAATATTGCAGTATTTCAATTACTATGAAAGGTTGTGTTGACTGTCAGGTGGGAAGGGTAGATGGTAGGGCAGTGGGGAGTAGATGTGGGGAGTGTAGATGGCAGGGCAGTGGGGAGTAGATGTGGGGAGGGTAGATGGTAGGGCAGTGGGGAGTAGATGTGGGGAGGGTAGATGGTAGTACAATGGGGAGTAGATGTGGGAGTGTAGATGGCAGGGCAGTGGGGGGAGTAGATGTGGAGAGTGTAGATGGCAGGGCAGTGGGGAGTAGATGTAGAGAGTATAGATGGTAGGGCAGTGGGGAGTAGATGTGGGAGGGTAAATGGTAGGGCAGTGGGGAGTAGATGTGGGAGGGTAGATGGTAGGCAGTGGGGTGCCCTACCATCACCTAACCTAACCTGTAATTATACAAGTCATTCAATTGATATTACAAAATACAAAAAGAAGTTCTATAATTTATGCATTGGACGTGTACGACACACACACCCACACACACACACACACACACACACCCACACACCCACCCCCACACACCCACACCCACACACACCCCCACACACCCACCCCCACACACACCTACTCCCCCACACACCCACACACACCCTACTGTATTATACAACTAAGACTCATCTACTGTATTCCCTTCATTACAGAACTGCCTCGAAGTGTTCAGATCCTCGACGGTCAAACGGGAGCTGCCAAGAACGGTGTGTTAGGTCCTTATTACACGGGCCAAGACATTGAGATTACCTGTATCTCTTTAGACGGTGAGTGTGTGTCTCTCTCTCTCTCTCTCTCTCTCTCTCTCTCTCTCTCTCTCTCTCAGTAGAAATAAGATATATGTTAAGTGATGTGTAGAGATAATTAGAGTCAGGGTAATTAACCTTTGTTATGATGTAGGTAATTGTATCAGTCTCTTCAGGTGTGTGTGTGTGTGTGTGTGTGTGTGTGTTTTATCATTGCAACAACTCGACCATGAGAGAGAGAGAGAGAGAGAGAGAGATAATCACTATGTCGATACAAAAACAAGGAGACTCATTTAAGTGTACTACAAATATGGTTGATAATTGTGTGTGAGAAGCCGGCGTACCTGTCCAAACACTGCCTCCCCTCTACCATACCCTCACTTTCCCTCACTTCCCTCATTTTAACTACCCTTCCCCACCTCCCCTCACCTGTCCTCATCTCCGCCTCACCTAGCCTCACCTCCCCTCTCCTCACCTTCCCTCCCCCTCACTTCCCCCCTCCTCCTCCCTCCCCTCTCCTCCCTCCTCCCTCACTTATATCCTCTCTTCCCCTCCTCCCTCTCCCCTGCTCTCTTCACTCTCTCCCTCCCTCCCTCACTTCCCCCTCACCTCCCTCTCCCTCACCTCTCCCCACCTTCCCTCCCTCTCTCCCTCACTTCCTCTCCCTCACCTCCCTCACCTCTTCACCTCACCTCGCCTCCTTTACCTCCTCCACATCCCTCACCTCACCTTCCTCACCCCACCTCCCTCACCTCTTCACCCCACCTCCCTCACCTCACCTCCCTCACCTCCCTCACCTCCCCTCCCTCACCTCACCTCTCCTCACACCTCTCCTCATCTCCTCACCCCTCCTCACCTCCTCACCTCCCCACCTCACCCCTCACCCTCCTCACCCTCCTCACCTCCCCCTCACCCTCCTCACCCTCCCTCACTCCTCAATTCCTCCTCACCTCCCCACCTCCTCACCTCCTCACCTCTCCCTCACCTCTCCTCACCCTCACCTCCCTCACCTCTCCTCACTTCCCCTCCTCTCCTCACCTCCCTCACCTCCTACCCCCCCACCCTCCTCACATCCCCACCTCTCCCTCACGTCCCTCACCTCCTCACCTCCCTCACCTCACCTCCCTCCTCACCTCCTGACCTCCTCACCCTCTCCTCACCTCTCCCCCTCACCCTCCCCCATTCCTCCTCACCTCTCCCTCACGTCCCTCTCACCTCCGCCCTCCCCACCTCCCCACCTCCCCTCACCTCTCCCTCCCCTCTCCCTCACCTCTCCCTCACCTCTCCCTCCCTTCTCCCTCACCTCTCCCTCCCTTCTCCCTCACCTCTCCCTCACCTCTCCCTCCCTTCTCCCTCTCCTCTCCCTCCCTTCTCCCTCACCTCACCTCTCCCTCACCTCCCACCTCCCCCTCACCTCCTCACCCTCTCACCCTCCTCACCTCTCCTCCTCTCTCCTCACTCCTCCCTCACCTCCCTCCTCGCCTCTAGCCCTCCCTCACCTCCTCACCTCCCCTCACCTCTCCTCACCTCCCCTCACCTCTACTCATCTCACAGGCCAGTAGGGACAGTGTACTCCAATAACTTAATCAAATATTGGGCTAATGTGTAGTGTAGTGGTCAGACTAACATACGGTACAGTTTAAACAATGATCTCCATTAACTTTTGTCTCTTGGTCATTATACATACATACATACATACATACATACATACATACATACATACATACATACATAAAATAATGATCACTGGTAAGAGAGAGAGAGAGAGAGAGAGTCGTCAGGATATGAGAACTCTGGGAAAAAAAAGAGAAATTCAGACAAGACTCAAATACCTGTAGTGTTGGACTATTAAGAGAGTCAAGGTTGAGTACATGAGAAGAGAGAGTCCAGATTGAGTACGACAGAGAAAATGGAGTCTAAATTGAATACAAGATAGAAAAGAGACCAGATTGAGTACGAGAAAGAGAAGAGAGTCCAGATTGAGTACGATAGAGAGGAGGACTCATCACAGAGAAGACAGTGTGTGTGTGTGTGTACCTGTGTGTGTGTTGTAACTCATCAATCATCCCACATCGAATAAGTTGCTTTTGAAATGTGTCAATGTTTGTGGTGATTCGTCAAAGTGAGTGACCCAAGTTTTCACATTCACCACGATCTATGAGGCTTCTCTGATTGGCTGTCCTATTTGTTATTGTTCTGACGTCACGGTATATGAGGGTTCTCTGATTGGCTGCCCTAGTTGTTGTTCTGACGTCATGGTATATGATGCTTCTCTGATTGGCTGTCTTAGTTGTTATTCTTATGTCACGATTTATTAGGCTCTTCTGATTGGTTGTCCTAGTTATTATGACGTCATAATCTTTGAACCGGTGAATACATTAAGTTTTAGATATATTAAAGTAAATATTTTCCAGAATAATTATGGAAATTAATAAAATAAAATAATAAATACATAAACTAGACAAATAAAAATTTATATATAGAGAGATAAATAGATAGATGATACATACATACATACATACATACATACATACATACATACATACATACATACATACACAAAACAGATAAATTGACAGATACACAACAACTAATTAACCCAAGATAACGACCCCATCTAATTATAACCTCCGCCTTCACCCCCTCCTACAGGATGGCCACTACCTAACCTGACCTGGTGGAAGAACAACCACATAATAGGGAACGGGCGGGACGTGACGGGTCCTGGCCAGGTGCAGAGTGACCTGGTGGTCGAGAAGGTGACCCGGGACTGGCATAATCAGACACTCACCTGTACAGCCTCCAACACACCTCTCGTCTCACCTGTCACCGTGTCCGTGGTGATACAACTTTACTGTGAGTATGGGGGGGGGGGAGTGAGAGACAGAGAGAAACGTGGAGAGAGAGAGAGACAGGGAGGAGAAAGAGAATTGTTAGAGATAGAAAAGGAATGAATGTGATACTTTATTACTTTTCGCTACTTTTTTATTTACTTTTTTTTATAACTTTTAATGACTGGCTTAATTTTTTTTTTTTTGGATTTTACTTTTCATTAATTTTTTTGTAACTTTTGATTACATTTTGATACAATATTTTAATTATATATATTTGTTTTATAATTTTTTGCGTGCCCTTTTTACGGCTTGTCTTGCTTTAGGTAGTTTTGGGATTAATTAAAATTTTCTCAACTATTAAAAAAAAAAAACTTTCTCAATGTGTAATTAACTCGGAACATAATTAATGATGCTGGAATGTGTGTGTGTGTGTGTGTGTGTGTGTGTGCGCGTGTGTGTGTGCGTGTGTGTGCGCGTGTGTGTGTGTGTGTGTGTGTGTGTGCGTGTGTGTGTGTGTGTGTGTGTGTGTGTGTGTGTGTGTGTGTGTGTGTGTGTGTCCTTTAAAATATATCCTGAGTACGGCAACTTTTGAACCTCTGCTACAACACCTTGAAATACTACCTGTGTGTTTATGTTTATTTCAGTGTTACCGAGGAGTGTGGAGATCCGAGGTACAGGCGCCGTGAGGGAGGGATCTCAGACCATGTTAGTGTGTATAGCTGAAGGTTCCCGACCCTCACCTCGCATCACCTGGACAATTAGGGGACGCACTCATCACGCCCACAAGGTAAGAGTCTTCTCCACACTAAGTCTTATTGTAGAGCCTCTCCATCCCTCTCTATCCCTCTCCTTTCTTCTTCTTCTTCTTCTATCCTTTCCTCCATTCCTATCACCTTCTTCTCCCGCCCTACACCTCCCCCCCTCTTTCCTTCTTCCTGTCGTCCCCTCCCCGTCTTTCTTCCCCTTCCACACAACTCTCCACCCCTTTTGCCTCCTCTTCCACCGCCACCTCTCCCCCACTTCCACCACACACACACACTCCTTCCGTCATAAACACCTGACCTCCGTTCCTCCTTTTCTCCCTCACCTCCTTCCCTCCTTCTCTCCCTCACCTCCCTCCCTCCCCCCTTCTCTCCCTCACCTTCCTCCCCCCCTCTCTGCCTCACCTTCCTCCTTCCCTTTCTCCTCACGCCATGTGGTGGAGGACCCCTGCTGAGCTGAGTAATTAAAGGAAGGTATTTTTACCTGGCCGAAGAGACCAAGAACATCTCCGGGAGGTGGGTGGCCAGGGATGGGTGGTCATGGATGGGTGGCCAGGATGGGTGGCCAGGGGTGGGTGGCCAGGGGTGGGTGTCAGGGGTGGGTGGCCAGGGGTGGGCGCCAGGGTGGGTGGTCAGGGTGGGCGGCCAGGGGTGGGTGGTCAGGACACAAGAGGCCACCTGATCGAACTCAGGTCAATGTGTTTCTAAAAGGTAATTTGGAACACAGGAGACTCAGTATTTATTTATTCAGTAATATCATATATAGATTACCTGTTCCTCCCACTCCCCTCCCCCTCTCTTCACCCCTCCCTCTCATCCCCTCCCTCCATCCCCTCCCCTTCCTTCCCCTCCACCCCCTCCCTCCCACCCAAGAACATTTTTTTTCCCAACTTACATATTGGTAAAGCATTATGTGCGTCTGGTAAAGCCTACTCACGCACATATTGCCACAGTTTCTGAACCTATCGTGAGCATTTTCTCTCATTTACAGCCGCCCAAGTTGCTTTTATCTCTCTAATATGTTATAGAAAGTTAGTTAATTGTACCTGTTATCCGTGCACACCTGTCGGCCTCTCTCGTCCTGTGTAATATGATGGAGTTGTGTTAATTTTGTGTATCTGTTTAAAGGTATTATTTTGTGACACTTATAGGGGTCTGTCTGTCTGTCTGTCTGTCTGTCTGTCTGTCTCTTCTCCTCTCCTCCATCCTTTCCCTTTATCCCACCCTTACCCCTACCCCTCCTCTCCCCTCATCTCCTCCTCCCTCCCTCCCCCTTCCCCCTCCTCCTTCCCCTCTCCCCCTCCCCTCATCCTCCTCCCCCCTCCTCGTTCCCCCTCCTCCCCTCTTTCTCGAGCGAGGTTACGGACAGCCTCAGACTTGACCTTAAGACGGTGACCTGTGTAAAATGTCAAGCTGATCTAAAGCAAATTGGCAACATAAGTAAGGACCCGCGCCTGTGACGTCACCCCACCTTGCGGCAGGGAAGGGAACCTCTATTATATTGAGTCGATAATAATGATAATAATAATAATAATAATAATAATAATAATAATAATAATAATAATAATAATAATAATAATAATAATAAAACGAAAATAACACAAATAAAAATAACAACAAATGACAATAAAAACAAATTAGACTAAAAAACTAAAAAAATGAATAATAAAAGCGTATATTTATTTATTTTTTTGCAACACGACTCCACATTTTCCTCAGCTTATATCACATCACCTTGAGTATTTTTGTTTATTTGACACTGGAGGAGGAGGAGGTGGTGTTGTGGCCACTTGGTAGTCGAGGATCAGTTCTCACTTGGTGCCTGGAGGAGGAGGGGTGTTGTGTTATGAATCTCTCTCTCTCTCTCTCTCTCTCTCTCTCTCTCTCTCTCAAAGCACCATGGAGCAAAAAACTTTCCAGAACTTTACGCCGCTGGTATTTCAAACGGTCATACCTGTGTGGCCTTAATAAAACTTTTTGCCAAAATTTTTATGAAATTTTTCGAACGCTTCTCAACCTCTCGTCATTGAGGTGTGATGTGGAGGCTTCACTTTTGGCGGGTGTTTTTTGGCGTGTTTTTTTTTTTTTGAGGGGTGTGTGTTCTTTCTTATTGCGGTTTTGAATTCCTGTATTTTGCGGATGTTTTTTCTTTAAGTTTATTTGTGGATCGGTTTTTCTTATTGTGGCTTTTGCTTCGGGGTTTTTTTTTAGGAATATTTTTGCTTGCGAAGAAGAAGAACGAAAAAGAAGAAGGAAAAAGAAGAAGAGGAGGAAAAAGAACGAAGAAGAAGAAGAAGAAGTAGGAAAAAAATGTCGAAGGAAATTGCATTAAATTTGAAGGAGAAAAAGGAGTGATTCAGGCAGGTGGTTTGTCAGCTGAAGGAGAGAGACGAGAGGATATAAATTGATCTTTACTACTCTCTCTCTCTCTCTCTCTCTCTCTCTCTCTATTTGTTTACCCTTATATATTGGACATATTTACTTGTCTACCTGCTTCTTTACCTTCTTACCTACTTTCTGAGTTACCTACCTACTTTCTTGATCTACTTATTTACTTTCTTAACCTACTTACCTACTTTCTTGACCTAATTACCTACTTTCTCATCTACCTAATTACTTTCGTTCTCTACCTGACTACTTAATTTCTTAACCACGTACCTACACACTTTTCTCAGTTACCCACCTACTGTAGATACCTTCCACCCTCCCCCTCTCTCCTCTCCCTTATATCTCCCTCCCTCCCTCCCTACCCTACTTCCCCCGTCCCTCCCTCCCCTTTCTTACCACTCCTCCCTCCCTTACCCTCCCTCCCCTACCCACCCTACTTCCTCCCTTCCTCTCCCTTACCACTCCCTTCCTCCCTCCCTACCCCTACTTCCCTCGTCCCTCCCTCCCCTTCCTTAACCCCTCCCCTCCCCACCCCTCCTACTACCCTACCCCTACCCCACCCCTACTTCCCCTCCCTTCCTCTCCCTTACCACTCCCTCCCTCTCTCCCTCACTACCCTCTCCGAGCACCCTTAATAATCTCAGTCGGCCTTCACAATACAGTCACCTCTCCTTCACTCCTCTACTTAACACGCTCACTTTACCCACTTATAAAAGGTCATAAGTGTACTTTACTGACGTGGGTTTGTACGTTGTTGTAGTATTTATCTGTAGAAAGCTTTGTACTTTAAGTTATCTCGTGTTGGTGAGGGCAAGACGTTACGGTGTGTATATGATGGATTCCTTGTTTGTGTAGTACTTATTCCGTCTCTTCGTCTTCCCTTGAGTTCGATGACTTAAGACTACGATGACTTAAGACTACGATGACTTAAGACTACGATGACTTAAGACTACGATGACTTGGTCCACTCTGAGTATGACTTAATTTCCTTGAGTAAGTACGATAACTTAATCCCCTTGAATGACTTATTCTTGTTTGCGTACGATGACTTAATATTTTTTTGGAGTATGATGAACTGACGTGATGAGATAGCATGACTGACTGAATACGATGACTTAAGACTACGATGACTTAACTCCCAAGTACACTTAATTACCCTGTTGAGTAAGATATTTTTAACCCTTTGAATATAATGACGTAATATCTTGAGTACGAGAATATGGTACTCGGGAGGGTTAAATCATTGTACTCAAGGGGGTGAAATCATGTAGAAAATATCTCAAAGGAAGGTGGGGTGTGTGTGTGTGTGTGTGTGTGTGTGTGTGTGTGTGTGTGTGTGTGTGTGTGTGTGTGTGTGTGTGTGTGTGTGTGTGTGTGTGTGTGTGTGTGTGTGTGTGTGTGTGTGTGTGTGTGTGTGTGTGACAACTGGGATAAGACAGACAGACATTCAGACATATGTTATGGCAGTGAGAGTGAATAATGATGGTAATGTGAGAGAGAGAGAGAGAGAGAGAGAGAGAGAGAGATATATATATATCTTTCTCGTATATATCGTGACTCCACAGTACAACACCTATCTCGTTCTCTGTATTGATTGGTCGACGACACAAACAACATTGACGTTGATTGGTCGGTTGCTGTTGCCTGTGTGAGTTGTTGTCAAAATAAAAACATCAACAACAATTATTTCAGAAACTCGCTGGTATATTGGAGTGAGTTACTCGTCTTGGGAGTTTGAGGACACGGATTCGATCTTCCTTGTGTAGTGTGTTGATGGGTGAGTGAGTGACTTTATTACATACATGTGTACAGTATGCGCACACACACACACACACACACACACACACACACACACGGCATAAATCACAGCCTAGAGTCGCCCAGGCACCATTACCTCTACCTAAAATGATCGCCACCGCTGGCAGATGGCAGGCGAAGGTTTGTGTGAGACAGCCTTCAATAAATCATATATTCGCAGGAGGGAAGAAAAGAAAAAAAAGTCAGACGGTTTTGATCGCTCGTGCTGGCGTTCGCTGTTTTACGGATACAGGAGAATTTTTTTTTACAAGACTATTTGGATATAGTACACTGCGGGAGGAAGAGAAATCAAGAGTGGGGGTTTGTCAGGGTGAGGGTGGGGGCATTAGGATGGGGGGTGAGGAAGAGAAATAGGGGTGGGGGCTAGGTGGTGGGGGCTGGGAGGGGGGTGGGTCTGGAGGGGGGTCTGAGTTCTTTGAGACAAGGGAGAGCTCTTAGTATTAGTGGTGGTGATGGCAGTGTGACGGACCCCTGTAGTGTAGTGGAGAGGGTCTAACACACGCACACACACGCACACACACACACACACACACACACACACACGTATTTATTTTATTACAATGATCAAAGAACAAAAAAATCGCACCAAATTTTGTGGGTTTTAACCAATATTTTCTTGGTATTTTAACATAAATAACTTGGTGCAAACATTGAGACACACGAGGAAATAAATTATTGTTTACTCTATGATGTTTAAGAATTTTTTTTATTATTGTTGAGTTTATTATGTTTAAAAATTTTGTTGTTGTTTTTATTATGATTAAAAAATTTTATTGTTGATTTTATAGGAGGTAAGTTACATTGTTTTTACTTTATTATT